CAGATAGTTAGCGAATAGTAGTTCCATCACAGAATAAATTTATTTCGATAAAAGCACACAGTGATACAGTATTTTATTTACTAATGACGTCTCGACCACAATATTTCGCTCACACCATATCACAGTTACGGATACTTCCCGTTAAAACAAGAAATCGAAAAAGATGTCAATTCGCGACAATGAGCATATTTTACTCAGAATTTATTTATCTTAATTTTTCTTGATATTCTTTTTGTTCATTCTTTAACGTTACTCCTGGAACATCGGGTTTCCAGCCGTAAGCTTTGAGGTTCCAGTAAATGCTAGCGTTGTTTTAATGTGGCGAAGTTGCTAGCCCTATGCCCAGCCTTATTGTCAGCTAAGCAAGGTTACAGAATGTATCGACAGGGAATCGAATCCTGACCTCGTACTCGGCTGTCGAGTATTCTACCACTGAACTACCGATGCTGACACTGCTGACATAATATGAAGAGGAGGTGAGAGGTTACGGGCGGTCACTGAGCTGGCTAAAAAGACGGAAAATGACAGTATACAGAGGAGACGTGCTGTCAAAGCCTTAAATTCAACTCAGAGTCCAAAGGATGAATTATTATTGTAATATTATACAGTATATAGTGTGATACTTTGTATAACTGACAACGTGTTATTCAATAGCCAGTTTAATTAAAAGAGAACTCCTGTTCTGTACTTAATTTTACTCTACTCTACTTACTGTATAAGTTCATTATTTGTAGCATGTTGTAAAATTCTTGTTCGCTTATGGATCACATAAACGTGTCAGTTCATATCATAGTGAAAGATTTTTTATAATTTGCACAGTTTTAACTGGCCGCATATACATATTTTTGACAGATGGTATATGTTGCAAGAACAGTATTTTAGTCTGTACTCAATTCGAATATAATCACATTCAATATGACTTCTTAATACTGTCTTACTAAATTTCATTGCACAGCATAAATTGATCCTATTAATTGTAATCAAAATTATATCATCAGTTTGTAAAAAGATGAACTGATACAAGCATAACAAAAAGCCGGCCAAAAACTATGTGATTACTGAAGATCGAATGCATACAATAATCACTATATTGCAACTTAAAAGTGCTTGTGAAAACAAAAATACTGCTGGTATGAAAAGATGTCACCGACTGAAGTATTTTCCTATAGTTAACTCAACTTCAGGCATTTATCAATTTATTATAAAGGCAGAGTTTCCAAAGTACGCTGGGTTCACTGTGTTTTGTCATATGTTCTTTAATTATGTCTAAGGTTATTTGAGACATATAGTTGTATTTGCTTTATTAAAGTTCATGAAGGAGAAGAAATATGAGGTGTACAAGTGACCCATTTTATTCGTTTTCCCTTACTTGATACTTCTGCAGCGGATAATGCTTTGTTTTATTCATTACCTAAACTGCTCATGGTCTGTCACCTCTTTGGGACTGTAAGTGAGTGAATTGTAGGGAAAGAGTTATTTTACAAGAAATTGGGGACCAGCGATCCACAACGGAGTAGAAATGCATCTAAAATAATTATTTCAGAAAGTCTACCATCTAGTATTATATCAGCTGGTTGTTTCTTCTCAACAAGAAATACAAGTACTTATGCTAAAGTCTGAAGAAGTCTCTGTTTTAAAATACAAATCCAAGGAACATGACTTGATTCGAAGAAAATGTAACTACTTTCTATCCATAATTTACTTTTCTATTATAATGATGTAGCTGATTTGAATATATTCATTTTGAACATTCTCGTGTTTGTTTACTCTGTGTTTGGTAGCTGTAATCAGTGTGCCTTTACTTCACGTTGTATTCCGTGATTTTAGCTTTCAGGCCTCAGTGAAAAGCTGGTCAGTGGGACTAACTTTCATCTAATAAACATTCACTGACTTATTAAGAATAACAACCAAGACAGAGAATAACAAATCTGTCTGAAATTTTATCTACGCGGTCCTAATACAGATTTCTATCCAAAAGTAGTCATTTTCAAAAGCAACAAATCTATGTCTGCGACTGATTATTTGCATTTTTAATACGCTTTTGGAGACATTTCAGAGGACCCTTGGCTTGTAATCAAACAACTAGGCGAATAAAAAGTTTATTTTTCCCAACCCTTATCAACTGGTAATATAAGAATTCACAATGATCAAGTGTATATGAATTACAAAAAGTTGCTTAACAAAAATGTAGGCCTGTAAATTATATCAAGCATTTAACCACGAATACTGAAGTAATAAAGTGTGGTAAACGCGAGCATTATATATCTCTACACAAAGTTGTGCGCTGACCTGATAATCAGTTTGTCATGACACACACATCTATTCATCATATCATATCTTGTAGATCTTTTACAGAAGCCTATACAGTTCTAGCGAATTTCGCCTAGATCTCGTCATGAGAAGCTGTTATTTTGTATTTTCTACTAGTCTTTTAGTACCAGTGTATGGTGTTTCTGCAATAAAGACAGAAAGCAACGTCATCTCAGTTGCTGTTTTATACGTCTTTTATTCCGATTGTAAAACACGAGCAGTAACTGGTTTAATAGACATTAAAGAGATGAACAGCAGAGGAACAATAACGATTTAAAGGGTGAGTGATACTGCTACCATTTTTTTAATATGGGTAGTTGTGAAAATAATTCCCAGATATATATCAAGAATGTGGTATGGTCTATATATAGTGTGCGTCGGTGGCACAGTGGTTAGGACTCTCGCCGACCATGCACATGGTCCGGGGTTTGAGCCCACGCCGACGCACACCTGATATCTATGGTCGGCCTGCGAATTTTGGGCTACCGATATCGACGCTGAAAATTCCATACTTGTACCGAAAATACGGTGTGGAGTCAAGCTGTAAGTCAAAAATAAAAAAATAAAAAAAAGTCTTTGTATTCTTCAATACGACTTCTCCACACCAGTCAGATAGCTGTAATCATTTGAGAAAAATAGTGGGTTTCTTCAAGGATCCCTACACACTGAGACGAAATATTGTGCCATCCTTGTTCTAATAATAAGCTATTCGCTAGCCACGAACAAAGTCCTTATTCGATTTCTGGCCAACAAATTCTTAAATCGTGCCTAACTGTGAGTAAGCCCATAAAAGAGAGTTGGCCAAGGGTTTAGTAACATCACTGTTAATGGAATTCTGATGTTTCAAACCTAAAACCTTATTTTCCAGCAGGAAGGGGACGAATGAAAAAGTAACGAAAACTCACCACCTGATTGATGGCAGCAAGACATAACTTCCTACGCTCTCTGAGCACTAACAACTTTGAGATAAGTTAAGAATACATTTTTTAAAGCTGATTCGACTTACCCATTGGCTTAAGGTTGGAAAAAAGAAATCTCCAAGAAATAATGTGCGGCTGTAGCTACCATCAAAGTAAATATTTGGTAAACCCGATTACAAACATGTATTTCAGGCTAGAATATATATGATTCCAAATGGTATCTCACAAACCACTCTGAAGGGGTGCTGTTATGTACATTTGTGACCTCATTATCAGCAAATGTCATTTATATGTAACCGAAAAGTTATCACTTTCATGGCCAATAAATGAATAAATCCATAAAACTGAGAACCTACTATTTTATCAGCACCCAACACAAGATGCTCCACTTCACCGTCTAAGTGAAGGGTCAACTATAGAGCTCTGAGTAAAACATCATTGTTGAATGTGTTAAACAAATTTATTTGGGATTCAGGATGACAAACGGACATAGTGATTGTCCCAGTAACAACTGCACGCCACCTCAAAATATTTAGCAACGAAATAATTATGAAAGATAAGATTATTTTGAGTCGGGAAAGCATCCATCGATAAATGACCATGCTAACAAAGTCCGTAAGATTGCATATGCGTTGCACATTGTTACTGATTATAAACCCATGATTTCTATTTCAAACTAATGTGTGGAGTACGTAACAATGTGATTGTACACTTTTTGGTTATTTGTAGAAATTAGAGATATTGTACATAGTTTTCGTTTAAAACGCTTCTTGTTGAAATATACATAACTTCCGTGTACAATTGAAAATACACTCTTCTGTTGGAGACTTCGTCTTCTCCCTGGTTATTTCTGCTTACTTGCTCAACTCACACCGTGTTGTATACTTCGGATTTATTGTAGGAGTCTACTACTCTCGACCAAAGACATTTCTACAACCGGAACACAGCAGCTACAGCAGACGCAACCCAAACAATTAACGTACCCGTGGATTATATAATTAATTTGTAGCAGAGGACTTAGACTTTATATCCAAATAATCCTTTTTGTTGATATAACTCGTCACTGCATTTTTGGTAATATATCTTTATTTAACACTCCATTGACTTGGATTATTATTCTTATATTTATAATGTTAGTGAACTCTAGTATAAGTCCCCTACAAATGCAACATTATTGAGAAGTAGTTGACAGTCCTAAGCACATATGAATAATTGTTACAGTTTTTCAAGCAAAACCTAGGCCTCAAAATATTTAATCAGTTAAGAAGATCACTTCATACCGAAGTATTTCAGAAGAATTAGATGCAACTAATTGGTCAGATAATTAAATACTTATATTCAAGTTAAACTTCTGGAAATTACACCACAAAACATTATTTAGTGTCATTTAAACGGTCTTCGATGCAAATTCTATGTAAACGAATTAAACGACAAAGAATTCTGAAAGTTTCAAACCCATGATATCTTAATGTAATTTTTAAAATCAAGACCTTATAATATCATTTACATATGCATGTGTGTATACACCCACAGAATGACACAATGCAAAAACAAGATGTGAAAAATTACGTTTTCACAACATTTATCATCCTTAACAATTATCGCGGTGTCAATTTACTTCTTAATATTAACTTCTAAATGATGACTAATTGATAGCACGAAATCCAAAAAAACTATTCGATGAACATTGCTACATGAATTCAAGTATTTGAATTATTTTTAAGCTAGCAATAATGGAAAAACAGCATCGTAAAAAATTATTTAAATCACCTTGACTACTCTCACTTCGTAATCGTAGAATTTATGACCTAGTAAAACTCACTTCAATTTAGCGCAGACAAACAAAATGCACCTTCTCACTGGGCAGAAGCTGGACTTTAATGCCTTTAAAAACGGGAAAAAAATCCATCAGATCCGTAGATATCTAAAAATCGTTTATTACATTACGGAGTCACCTATGATCTTTGGTGCTTCCCGAAAACTTTGTCACTGTTTGACTGGTGAATCATCAACTTTAGGACTCTGACATATCAGCGCTAAAGTATTCATTCTATCACTACTTCCACACCTAAGAAATGTTTTGTGAATCCAACCTTCAAGAACCAATAAAAAGGCTCAGTACTCAGCTTAATGAAATATTTTCCTACTTTGGTCACACAAACGGGACTTTCAGGTCAACTCCTGGCTGCTTAGAATCTTCGTAGCTCCACAGTTTAAAATTAACCCAGCAACCCCCTTATCCTACTTATACTTGCTTGATCACTATATATTTTTTAATGGTCAAGTGAGGCCTGTAAAACTAGTCAGTCTGTAAAATGATGTGTCAAACTGAACACAAAATATATATGATTAAGGGCAATAAACTGTGTTCGAAACGTCATCAGTAAATATTGTTTTGTGCCACTATGAGACTTTATCAAGATGAATTTCACCCACAATTGAATGAACATAATATAATCATTGCTCGCCGACCAAAACAACTGTTTCTCAAGTGTCTGAGAGGGGGCGGGGGGAAATGCATAAGTGTACCACTTTGCGAAAATATTAAGATTCCGCCAACGCACTGGTGATCGAATTTAGAGCCAGTCTGGTGTTGTATGACAGTATACAAATGCAATTTTCTAGTTGACAGAGTACATCAATCCCGGACACGCATACAAAGCACAAGCAGCAAATGATTAGGTAAATACATATGGCTTGAAAATATGTTTACCTGTAAACTATAGCTGGTAATTTCAATTTACCATCATCCAACGTCTGTGAGCGAAAAACGTATGCATGTATCTTCGACAATGTAAGCCCAACCGTTATTCTGGGTAACATGTGGAGAAACACTCAGGTCAGTTAGCCTCCCCATATGTGACAACCTAAATACAGACAATGTACAATGAGAACCACCAAGAGACCGGGCAGATACACAGCAGCGATGTCCAACCTAGTTATTCTTTTTTTGATTACAGCTTGACTCCACACTGTATTTTTGGTACAAGTATGGAATTTTCAGCATGTGATATCGGTAGCCCAAATTTTGTAGGCCGACCATAGATACCAGGTGTGCGTCGGCAGGGGATCGAACCTCGAACCATGTGCATGGTTGGCGAGAGTCCTAACCACTGTGTCACCGATGCACAGCTGATCAAGGATAATTCCCCTAAGCATGTTGTTACGTTAATGTCACCTGTGTTCGTATATGAGAACCTGTGGTATTGGTTTCTGGCTTAAAATCATATCACAGCTTGACGGGGATGAAAAGTGTTATCAAAAGAGCTTTGAGGAACTCTGTCATCCCTACAAAAACATACTGGGTGAAGATAAGCGCAAACATAGGCTCGGCAAAATGGAAGACTCCCAAGAAAAAACTAGATCATGTCTCACATCTAATCTCCGGAAAGAAGCTGATTACCGCATCTGGCGAGTGTACGAGAACATTCCAGGCAAGTTTACAGGATACTGCAAAGAAAACCCAAGAGCCTGTACCAGGATATGGCCCAGAGGATAGATACGGAGGAGGGAGCTTGTTCCGTTAAAATCCTAATTGTCGAATATGAGTAATTCACAGAGAGCTGAAATCTGCAGAAGTGCTCCCATGAGACAACTGAAAATCAAAGAAGCGATATACCTTTACGCTGAGCAGCCTGATATTGCAGGATTTACCTCTACCAGACAATACTAGGTATGGCACTGAAACTAACAAAGCCAGTCCAGAAGCACCCCAGGGTGTGACAGCACCAGATCGTTAGTTCACAAGGGAGCTAAAGCTCTGCATGTACCACTACACTAGCTGTTTCAGCGCGGGGCCATACAACGAAGGACTGGAAGTATGCTTATCTGCAATCCATAAAGGATAGAGATCGAAAAAACCTGAGAGCTGGAGACCGGTATCGCTCCTACCAACAACGGCAGTATTGCAAGCCCTGTTGTATGCCATGAGAAATGGAGGAAGGCATGGCCAAACTAGAAAATTTGCAATAGAATGCAGACTAGCTCTCAACTAATGAAGGGTAATGTCCACCTGCTCACTAATAGCATAAAGAACTTTTCATTGTTTATTTGGATCGAACCACTTTTATGTAGGGAATGAGGGTGACACACAGGAAATAGGCTCTAACTATGCTGAAAATAGGGCCGAAACGAAGGAAGCTGTCGACCCGATAGGGAACGGACATTAGTGATACGGGTTCAGAAGAATAAATATACCCACCAGTTGTTTGGTCAAGCTGACAGGGATGTGGCGGATACGCTGTGATACCCATGTATTTTTATTCTGTCTAATGTTTAGAGAAATTCTCAGTGTTCTAACCGAATTCAATTTCAACTTTCAATTTATGGATATGTAAGCCAACTCTCAGAAACTGTCAATGTCTAGCTCTTACTACGCTGAACCTCACACTGTCCCCCGAAGACTTTCAGAAATAATGTGTAATAACCAACGCGAAAAAACCAGAACACAGATCGGCGACTCTAGAATCCTTTATTCTTACGCCAATATGTAACAAACAATAAGGTTATTACACAATATCTAAGAATAAATGTTATAACAAAAAGTCACGATATTACTTCTGATAGTTTTCTGTCTTCCAACGAACAGCGAGCGATGAGACGATGACTGTTAGGTTGATGACTCCCGCGAAAAATATGGAGGAGTTGGGTTTGAGCAAACAACCATGAATTGATCGTTCAATCTTCAACCACATTGACAACCTTATATCCACATCTCAGTCTACAGTTCTTGTGCAGACAGCTTAATCATCTGATTTCTGAAGTAAGTTTTTGAAGCTGAACTCGGTACCTGTGACACGTATATAAGGTGTTGTGAAGAAATCTATGTCAGGACCAGGTGCTGAGTTCTTAGAAGCGATGCTACTGCTAGTTATCAGCATATTTCTGCTGTCATTTCCATGTAAAGAAAACGGTACTGACACCGCAGTTCGACGCTTGCGATATATTGGCGAGCTGTGTGTCTCACTTCCATATTTCGAGTTGTGTTGCTCGTTGTTGTAAGCATGTATGTGCTATCAGTTATCATGCTAACAGGTAACTGAATTGGTGGCTTTTTTATACGATTAACCATAACTAATTGGTCAGAGTTATTGGGTACAAATATGGAACTGCACAAACACTTTTGCGAGTCTTACAACAAAAATAGATATACATGGCGAATCGAGCTGAAATGTAACGCAAACGTTGAACTTACTGGTGTAAACTGTGAAACGTTGTCTAGTTGTGTGATTCTCTAGGTGAATACTCATCTGTAGTTCAGTTCAGAGAGTAATTCAGAGGTTTGTGGCTAGTGAAAACTATGAATTCACGACCCTCCACTGAATGTCAAAAATGACGAACAGCACAGTACATAGCAAGAAGTTCTCTGCAGAATACGCTGTACTTCGTTTCTGCTAATTGTAGGCTACTCGAGAATAAAGGCGAATGGTTGTCACTTTCCATTGACTAGTTGTTGCAGAACTGCGCCGATTGCAGTGTCCGATGCACCAATCAAGATATTTGACGGTACGGTTGGATCCTGATATATGAGAAGTGTGGCATCGACGATAGCTTTTTTAACCTGAGTGGATGCATTCTGAGCAGCCGTATCAAGTTCGATGAACTTGTTATTCCCTGGAAGAAGGTCCGTCAGTGACCAAATCAAGAGAGTTACCCAACGCTGCACTAACAGCAGAAGAATTTATATGATCGTTTTGTTCGTGGCCCAGTCTACTCTTTCAGTGACTACGTCTGGCTCCACCACCACCCTGCTCATGGTTCAAAACACTACTCCCCATGGTAATGGCCCTTCAACAATTGTGTGAACATTCCCTCCAAATGGTGACTTCCGAAAACCTTCAGCACCAGAATTCCGATGTTATTCCTGTCCGCTACAGTCAACTTAAGCCTCGTCGTACCTTTCCCTCAAATAATCTTCCTCTCCGTGACGAGCCACCACCCACTACTCGTCGGCAAGAAGTTCCAGCCTATGGGGATATAGGATACCCAGTTTCGCTATACGGCACTGAGGAAAGTGTCTCCAGGAGAGACAGGATAGTGTAATGAGAACAAAACCTATATTATAAACACTTATTAATGTTTTATTTTATTTTTCTTCTTACACTCGTTCGTTCTTTTTTGCACGATCCTTAGCTAGTTAGGCAATCATCCTGCACTCCGATCCGGTCTCGAAATATAATCCGTAATTTGGACGATAAATTCCGTTGTTTTGCTTTGCCTTCGGCTTACAGTGAACGACTTTGTAGGCATAAGATCCTGCGTTAGCATAATTCGCACTATGGGTGAACGTCAACACCCTTTGCCCCTAAAGCTTGATTATCAGTAACCTCAGTTCAAAGCAAATCTCTTAGTACCTATAAATTATTAATCTACTTACAAACGTCACATCATGGCATTAAGTAAATAAATAAGAACTAACGGTGGATGTATGAGAAGCAAATATAATTTACTGAAACAGATAGTTGCTGCTTTTATTTTCGAGTCATGTACCTGTAGAAGGTAAGGGATGTTGAAGGTTGCGCAAAGATACGCTGTTAATCTCCTACCATAAACCGTTAATGCCCAGCTCTCGCTACGCTCGGGCCCACGCTGTTCCTTTGAGTTTCAGAAACGCTTAGTAATAACGGACGCAAAAACCAAAACACCGATCTGCCGCTTGTTATTTCTTTATTGTTACACAAACATATAAAAGGAATAAACGAACTAAGGTCTGAAAACAAATATTACAATAATAAATCATTGTATTACTTCTGACGATGTTTCACTCTTCTTTCTGAACAGCGACCGATGAGACG